TATAGAGCCAACAAAGCATCTAGACTACAGGGAATGTTTGAAAGTATTGACTATGTACTCTCTGGAGCAGAAGAGAGGAGACACATGACAATATATATGTGGAAGATACTAGAGGGCTTGGTTCCAGATCTAAACACTGCTATAAAAACACACTGGAGTGAGCTATGGGAGGAAATGTGAAATGAATCCAGTATCAGCATGAGTGCCATGGACACAACGCGAGAACAATGTATCAACATTCGTAACGCTAGATTATTCACCATACTAGAAATAGATATCGGTAGCGTCCGTGCACACGCTGGCTGGTACCCCGCACTGAGAATTCACATATTAAGACTGGTGGCTTACTAAGCCACAATTGTACCACAGGGATAGTGATTTTTCACTTTAACCAGCGTTTTACTGGTGGCACAGAGTGGTACAACACATGGAGACAGTAGCTTCAAAGAGGATCTTGCTTGGCTTACTTCTCTCTCAGCTGGGTTGTTAAACTGGCTTAAGCCCTCGACATTGACTAGGCTGGGATGTCTTGAATGCTTGTAACTATGCACACAGCAGTAATAAAGCAGGCTGGGTGACTGGCAGGAACAAGTGCAGAAGCCTTCAAGAGAAAGTTGGATCACTACCTCCGCCAGTTGCCAGCTGAACCTGGTTGTGATGGATATGTGAGCCAGCGAACTGCCAATGACAACAGCCTGGTTAACCAGCAAGCACTAAAAAAGCCTGGTCCCAGGCCGGGCTGCAGGAGCATAAATATTCTTGAAAAGTAAGACACATAAGCAACAGTTAGGCATCTTTATTCCGAAACGTTTCGCCTACACAGTAGGCTTCTTCAGTCGAGTACAGAAAATAGGCAGGAGCAGTAGAGATGTGAAGACGATGAAATCAGTCCATCACCCTTGAAGACGTAGATTTGAGGTTGCCAGTCCCTCAACCTAGAGAAGAGTTCTGAAACAATGTGAAGATCAAGCGACAGTGTGGAGACTTATATACTGTCGGAAGGAGAGGTGTAGAGTAGTAGAAGAATGTAATCACTGAGAGGTCACGTCCCTCTCAGATCCAACAGTTCTCACTTGAAAAAGTTGTCCAAAGTGTTTTCTCTTCTTTACCAAGATGCCATTGTGTTGCAGTGTCTGACAGTGAATATCAGAATGGTATACAGTACCGACAGGTTGGCAAGTAAGACACATAGGCAACAATTAGGCATCTTTATTCCGAAACGTTTCGCCTACACAGTAGGCTTCTTCAGTCGCGTACAGAAAGTAGGCAGGAGCAGTAGAGATGTGAAGACGGTGTAATCAGTCCATTATCCTTGAAGACGTAGATTTGAGGTTGTCAGTCCCTCAGCCTGGAGAAGAGTTCTGTTCCATAGCCTGAAACAATGTGAAGATCAAGCGACAGTGTGGAAACTTATATACTGTTGCCTGTGTCTTACCAACCTGTCGGTATTGTATACCATTTTGATATTCAAGACTGTTGAAATAGGTCACAGATGTCTTCTCTGCATGGCCGTCTTCTTGTCATCAGTGCCGTGGTTGGGAGACCACTCTCTCCCGTCTTCGCATTGGCCACACTCGTCTTACTCACGGGTATCTCATGGAGAGGCACCCTGTACCTCTCTGTGAGCAGTGTCAAGTTCCTGTATCGATTAGCCACATTCTGTTAGACTGCCCTCTCTATCAACGAGCACGCAAAATTTACCTCCAACGCCGTCTTCGTTCTACTACTCTCTCTTTACCTTCCCTTCTTGCTGATGGACCCTCCTTTAATCCTGACTCTCTCATTGACTTCTTGACAACGACTGATTTACTCCACAAACTCTGATGATGATACCTTATGCACTCCCCTCAGCCCTTTCTAGCTCAGTCTCTTGCTGCCCTTTACCCTTTCACCATCCACTGCTCCGCTGTTATCCGTAACCTATTACTCATCCACCTCCCTTTTGCCACCTGATGCCCTCGCTTCCTTCCTGCCCTGCAGCGCTGTATAGCCCTTGAGGCTTAGCGCTTCTTTTTGATTATAATAATAATTCTCTGCATGACCCCTGTGGGTTAAGTGCTTCTCACTAAATATAATTCTAATCTCTCTCTCTCTCTCTCTCTCTCTCTCTCTCTCTCTCTCTCTCTCTCTCTCTCTCTCTCTCTCTCTCTCTCTCTCTCTCTCTCTCTCTCTCTCTCTCTCTCTCTATCTCTCATTCTCTTTTGACATGATTGGTTTAAACTTTACATAGATGACGAAAACAACTGACAGGAAGAGCTCGGTGATCCACTCCAGTTTAATACTTTATGTGAGGGAAAAGCGGGTAATAATTCGGTGTTAGAGTTGTTCAAACAGCCATGAACCATTAGCGAGTTGCTGCCCGCACTTCATCCAGCGGGCTGAGGCGATTTTTTTGGATTTTGCCACCGAAGTGGCTAGTTTATTGTGCACCCCATATCCATCCTGTGGACGGTAGTGCAAGAGCATATGGATACACAAAAGACCTAGGCACTACGCCCCAAAAGGGTTATCAGGTATACATATGGGTTTTTTATCTACATATATATAGTTCACTTATCTGTTACAAGCAAATTTAGGAAATTTTCTTAGTATATCTGGTATCTTATTTTCATTAATAAGATATTTTGACATGTCGCATAGGTTATTATATTGTCTATCTCTGTATTTCTCAATAAGCGGACAGTTAAGCACATAGTGTTCAAGACAGTGACCATATGCCTGATCACATAATTTACATTTAGTTTGATCATCATCTGTGTGTCTCCTAAACTGCCAGAAGTATTTGTAACCAAGCCTAAGCCTGGCCAATACAACATCAGTCAGTCTGCTCACATTGCAAGTTGCTCCATGAACATATTTATCTACATTCATGTTATCATAGTGGGTTATAGATCTACTCAGGCTTCTAATTGCATTCCTTTAACAATCATTTTCATTACATATTTACTTCTCTCCTAATATTATTCCTAATGCTAGACACAGAGTACCCAGGAGAATGTAGAATATAACTTTGGCTGAGGAGTCACTCCAGTTCCTGGTGTCTGATGTCCTTTAATTTCTAGTCCTGGTAATATTAACTTTACTTGGTGTGAGTTGAAGTTTGGAGAGTCACTTCACCTCCACTCTTCTTCTAATCGGGTAAGGTGATCTACCAAGAGTATTTCTGTTCGTTGTTCTTTTATTTTCCTGGTTACCAGTAATGAGTTGGACATTTTATACCACCCTTTGTCTTTCTTAAATGTTACTCGCTTTACTTTTGGTAACCAGTATATTTTCTTTATCAGCTCTGCTGCTGGCCTGGATCATCCAGGGTAGACTCCAGATAAGGGACCCAGATACTTGTCTATTGGACCAAGTAACAGTCCGACTACTCCTTGCCTTTTTCATCCTACTTGTGGTGCACCCACCAGGTAGTACAGGAGAATCCAGAACATCGGATTGATACCATCCGCCCAGGATAACCTACACCATTTCTTCAACATACTCCTGCCCAAAACACTGTACCATAACCAATAACGGGCAATTTTATTTTTTTAATTAAAAACCACTAAAGACAGACTTCATTATTGAACCTAGAGTCGTTATTTATTTATTTTTCCATTATTTTCTTTAATCAGGCGGAAGGCGTTCCCCTGACAGTTATTATATAAGTTTACCAGGAGTGAAAAAAAAAATGTCTTCCAAGGAACTGGTATTATTTCCTGTTTCTGGCATCGAATATGCTTCCTTCTAATATCGAATTTGCTGCCTTCTTGGAATCGAATCTGATCTTCCCATTCCACAGGCGCTATATGACCCCTACGGGTTTAGTGCTTTCCTCTTACTAAAACAAATAAATAAAGCAGAAATCAAAGTTGAAGGCAGATGACCTGACTGTGAAAGCAATGCAACGTGCAAGATCATTGCCAACTTTTCACCCCCCGCCCCCTCCCCTTCCATCCAGGGAGGTACCTGGATACTGGTGAAGGGCTGTTCTTCCAAGGAATTCGAATTATCCTTCTCTTTATTGAATCAAACATGATTACCTTCCATTCTCCAAACATTACATGACCTGTACTGACTCAGCGCCTCCCCACATGAAACAATAATTTACTCTTGGAAAATTCTAGAGAGACTGGACCCAAACCTGTACATTGAAATCACTCAATATGAAAGCAAGAGTTGCCAGACGGTGCTTTGATAGTGTATATCACTAAATGTTGACCTTTTTTAACTTTTCCAGTGGCCTGGTGGCAAAAGCTCTTGCTTCACACAGTGAGGTTCCGGGTTCGATTCCCGGCGAAGGGATGGAAACATTGGGCGTGTTTCCTTACACCGGTTGTCTATGTTCACCCATCAGTAAAATGGGTACCTGGGTGTTAGTCGACTGGTGTGGGTCGCATCCTGGGGACAAAATTAACCTAATTTGCCCGAAATGCTCTGCATGACAAGGGGCTTCCTATATAGTAGTATTTCACTGATGTCAGCTAGACCTGTATACCTTGTACATGTACTTGTAGTAAATAAAGATATTTTATTATTATTGTTGACATGTAACTCTTCCAGTGTATAACACTGATTTAATACACAGTATTCTTTCAAAAGAAATATTTTTTTTATTATTCGCCGGTATTCTCCCGGCCCGGGTCTTTTCCAAGTAAGAAACAACAAATCTTGAACAGCGAACATAATTCTTATTTCGCTCAAGTGTTAGTTTTTTTAAGTAATAATCATTTTATTTAGGGCTTCTCTTTCAATGTAATAATACGTACTTTATTGGAAAATTTTCTATATATTAATTTAATTAATTTTAAATGATTAAAATGGATTTACTCTATTATATCACCTGGACTTACGCTCCCCTTCCGTGGATGGTATCTCAGGTGCTATGGGGTACGTACGGGTTTAGCACTTTCCCTGATTTAAATAATAATTACTATATTATTAATTAAATGTATTTAGCTACAAATAAAGCAAAACAGAGAAGAAAATATATGTCAACATTTATATGGATTGTCCCTGGAGAAGTGAGAGGCAGTGCTGGAAGATGATTGGTGGAGCTCCACCACAACAACCATCATGGCGGACCGCTTGTCACAGCTTCAGGATGCTGTCAACCTAGTATGTACTTACCATGATGTGTTCCTTCCATCCAGGGGGTTCCTTGATGCCAGTGAGGGACTCTGGATCCAAGGAATTGGTCCTGATCTTCACTTGGCTCAAACCTGATTGCCTCCTATTCACCCATGTGTTGTGTGATCCCTACTAATTTAACGCGACCTCATGAATAATATTGTGTTCATTAGGATTATATTTGGATACTCCTCATTTTTTAGCCCATGTTTTAAAATATGGGCGTCCTATGGTATGGGGTTCAACAGAATGTGACATGGTGGCACAAGACTCAGAACCCCATAGCAGCAGTTAGTGTTTGACCTCATTGGGTTATCTTTTAGGTTACACAGCACTGTACGAATCATACAGACTTAACATGTAAATTTATTATAATAATAATAATAATCTTAATCTTAGAATAGTTATACGTAATATATTTTCAATTTAACCACGGTGCATAGTAAGTGAAATTCCAAGTGTTTTAGGGATTTCTCAATCATCTCAAGGGATAGTAATGACAATAAAGTAAAGGGTGTCTTATATACAGTAGAGATGCATTATGCATAAGAACTTATTCTTATTATTTTTAAGGGGAAGCCTTAAACTCATGTGTCATACAGCACCTGAAAAATGGAAAGTAAATATGTTTGATTCAGAAAAGCAGAGGGTATACTCAAGGGCCTGACATACTATGTTCAGATGTTGAGTCATTGTGTATGGTGCATCTCTACTGTATGTTAAGATACCCTTTATGTCAATGCTTTCACTATTCCTTCAGAATGTAATCGAGAGATCATGAAAGTGCTTGGAATTCACTTGCTATTCACTGTGGTTATATTGCCTACTAAGAAATCACTTGTCTTTTGTAATTTTATTATACATGTGTGTGCCCTCAACACCACTAAAAAAATTGTGTATATAATTCCTAAATATAGACTTTACATTTTAGAACTTCAGGAAATACTGTATAGGTTATAGACAACATTTCATACAAAATAAATGTTGCTTGGCATTGAAGTTTCCACTGGTTTTCATATTAACCTAGTAGTACTGCTTTTGTACAGCTTTGTTTTTTCATGATTATGTAAATGGTCTCCTGAAATTATTAACCCTTAAGCTGCCCCTCACCCCCATATTGAAAGCTGCTTCTGTGTCCACATTTAGAAAAATAATGTATCTTCCAAAAATGCTAAAGGAACTTTTTCTAATGATATTAATACCAAAGATTTAAATTTTGATGTAAAACTTAGGGAATTACACAAGCACAAATTTACAGTTCCTGAAATACTTTGAGGCTTGTCTTCAGCAATTCCAGTATTCAAACCGACTCTTATTTTGCTAGGATACCTTTTATTCTATCCATTGTTAACAAGAAATTGCTCATTCAGCTATCAAAACTAGATTAGTCAACCTATTCAGTGTTTTTTTTTTTTTCCCTTTCACAGACCGGTCCGTGGGGGCGTTGATCCCTGGAACTCTTTCCAGGTAAACTCCAGGTAAACACAGGTGACCCTTCCCGACCACCAAAGTAAACCCATTGTGACCCCCTGTACATACAGTTTTTTGTACAGATTCTAATTAGCCATCATAAAGGTTAATACATTGATTAAAATTCTCCCTCTGATAAGTGCATTTTACATTCCTAATCATGCCATAATATCTTACCCTGGAGTATACCTGGAGGGGGTTTTGAGGGTCAATGCTCCCACATCCCAGTCCATGACCAGGCCTTGTGGTGAATCAGGGCTTGATCAATTAGGCTGTTATGCTGGCTGCACATAAATTGATGTACGAAAAACAGCCCGGCTGGTCAGGTACTGACTTTAGGTTCCTGTCCAGCACCTCTTAGAAGACAACCAGGGGTCTATTGGTAATCTCCCTTATGTATACTGGGAGGCATATTTATGAAGATATTCCAAGTGATACTTGCTAAATTTAGTGTTCTGAGGTATAGTTTTCCCATGAATTGGAAGCAATAGATTAGAAAGAGAAATTTAAAAATTCTGAAATTGTTGAAGTGTGCACATTTGAAATGTTGATAAGTTTATGCATTGAATATGTTATTTAAAAAAAAAAAGAATATTTTTGAGTTTGAGAAGTTCCAGTATGGTATGTTTTAAGCTGCGTACATAACATAAGAACATAAGAAAGGAGGAACACTGCAGCAGGCCTGTTGGCCCATATTAGGCAGGTCCTTCACAATCCATCCCACTAACAAAATATTTGCCCAACCCAATTTTCAATGCCACCCAAGAAATAAGCTCTGATATCTCTATCCATTCTCATATGCAAGTCCCACTCAAATCCAACCCCTCTCACTCATGTATTTATCCAACCTAAATTTGAAACTACCCAAGGTTTTAGCCTCAATAACCCAACTAGGTAGACTGTTCCACTCATCAGCTACCCTATTTCCAAACCAATGCTTTACTATATCCTTTCTAAATCTAAACTGTGGGTTCTCTCTTGGAGAGATATCCTCAAGACCTTATTTATATCCCCTTTATTAATACCCATCTTCTACTTATACACCTCGATCATGTCTCCCCTCTTTTTCATCTAACAAATGAATGTAATTTAAGGGTCTTCAATCTTTCTTCATAAGGAAGATTTCTAATGTTATGTGTATTAATTTAGTTATTCTACGCTGAATGTTTTCTAATGAATTTATGTCCATTCTCTAATATGGAGACTAGAACTGAGCCGCATAATCCAGGTGAGGCCTTACTAATGATGTATAAAGCTGAAGTATAACCGCTGGACTTCTGTTGCTTACACTTCTTGATATACATCCCAGTAATCTATTTGCCTTATTACACACGCTTAGGCACTGCTGTCTTGGTTTAAGGTTGCTGCTTACCATAACCCCCAAATCCTTTTTCGCATTCTATACGACTAAGTTCAACATTATTACGCAGGTAGGTGATTGGGTTATGGACATTTCCGAGCTTTAGAACTTTACATTTATCTACACTGAACTGAATCTGCCACTTTTCTGACCAAGAACTGAGTTTGTCTAAATTCTCCTGAAGTTCTGAGACGTCACCGTCTGAATTGATTATCCTATCTATCTTCGTGTCATCAGCAAATTTGCTTGTCACTAGTAATTCCCTCGTCAAGGTCATTTATATATATTATAAACAACAATGGGCCTAAAACTGATCCCTGTGGAATGCCACTTGTTACAGATCCCCACTCAGATTTTACCCCATTTATGCACACTCTCTGCTTCTATTAGTGAGCCATGACTCGATCCATGACAGCATTTTTCCCCCAATGCCATGAGCAGCCACTTTCTTCAACAGTCTCTGATGTGGTACTCTATCAAAAGCCTTACTAAAATCTAAATAAACAATATCGAATTCTTTATCCTGATCAATGGTCTCAAAAGCTTTGCTGAAGAAGGTTAATAAATTAGTTAGGCAGGAACGGCCCCTGGTGAAACCATGTTGAGTATCATTAATCAAATTATGCCTATCGAGATATTATATTATCAGCTATAATTGACTCTAGTAACTTTCCTACAATTGAGGCTAGGCTTATTGGGCGGTAATTTGACGGTAACGCAGTACCTTTATGTAAAACATTTTATACTTTTAACCCCTTGACTCGCAACCCCCAATCCTGAGGTGTCTCCTGGTGTCGCAAAATTTAAAAAAAAAATTATTTTTTCTGTTGAAATGATAGAGAATCTTTTCCCGATTGTAATGACACCAAAAAAACGAAATTTGATGGAAAACTGACAGAATTATGCTCTCGCGAAGTTAGCAACCTCGGCGCTGTTTACCAATCGGCGATTTCGCCCACTTTGAGCCCTATTTTCGGCTAATTCCATTGTTCCAGTCGCCCAAACTCATAGCTATTTCTTTAGAACTCCATTTTTTCTATCGATTGAGTACAAGAAACTGCCCATTTACCGATTTCAACTACCTAATAATGTGGTCAGAAATTTGCAATTTGGCCAATTTCATGAAAACAAAAAATATGACAATTTCAAAATAAGGTCCAGAATGAACAATGCAGACATTCCTGGCTCTAAAATAACATTTTCTTTGTTCATCAGTCATGTCTCCAGGCCCCTCTGATATTACTCTTGCTTTCTATTTTGAATTTTTATTCAAAGAAAAAATAGAAGATTTACTATTATGCAGACTACTGCAATACTGTAATAATTGTATAAATAACATCAACCCATTCATGACTGCATATTAGAATGGCTAGTTGGACATTTATTGGACAATGGCATCATTTGTTTACTTTTGAACATTGGCAAAAATCAAACATTTCCCCTTCTTTGAGCTCCATTTCTAGGTTCTTTTTATAGTAAAATCAATCAAAATCACCTCTATTTCTATAATATGTTTTCCATTCTATCAAGTGAGACCAAGAAAACGAGAATACAACCATAAATACTATATGAAAATAGACCACAAAGTCGGCATTTTAATTAAAAAAAACGGTTGGAGTTTTTTTTTTTTCCTCATTATGCACTGCGTGCTCCAGGATTTTTTTTATATGGTGCACACTGACCACACAGACCCATTCTCTCACATGTGGGCCTACCAGCTTTCTCCTGCTTGATTTGAAGCTGCTAGAATTTATGAGTATACATGTATATACATCAAACACGGTACCTCGTAAGATGTATATATACGGCCGCGACAGTCAAAGGGTTAACCCCTTCAGGGCCCAAGGCCAAAATCTGAAGTGGTGCTCCAGTGTCAAAGAAATTTTGAAAAAAAAAAAAATTATTTTTTCTTACAGAATTAAAGAGCATATTTTTGTGAAGGTAATAAGACAAAAAAAAAATTTCTGATCAGTACTTACCAAGATACAGTGCCAAGAAGTTTGTCCAAAATGATGTGGTGGTGGCAACATCGGCGAATTCCACATACACGCATTACTTTATTTAGCGGTTTTTATAGTTTTTTCTTTTCTTTTCCAATTTTTTTCTTTTCCTACTAACATTTGGGGCCTGAGAGACCAATACTGTATATAATGTATATATGTAAACTCACTGTATTGAACACAATAACCGCACTAAAGTTATTATCATATTATTGTTTACCACTGTTGTTTATTACAATAAACATGCGCAAATCTTGTATAATACTAATGTTCTATCATATATTTACATATTTACAATCACTGGACATGGTTTTAGAACTGCTGGAGCTTGTGGAACTCCTTGAAACAAGGCACCTTACATTCCTCACACATAAACCGAGTGTCTTTGCGTCTTTGTTGCCGTCTTTTTGTTTGTGCACAGACGATGCATCTCTTCTGAGCAAATTTCTTCTGGGTTGAAGGAAGCTGTACTGTATTTTGAAATGATCACCTTCCCTCCTCAAACGCTTGGGTATATCCTGAGGAATTCGAGGACCTTGTTGTATAGCAGGTGTTCTTACCTGGTACTTCATTATGAGTTGTCTGACAACAGACAAACAAAATTCACCATACGGTGGTCTGTTGCCAGTCTTTATTTGGTACATATTATATGCATTGAGCATTGAAATGTCCATGAGATGGAAGAAAAGTTTCATGTACCACTTGTAACTCTTACAAACACAATCAACAAAACCAATCTGCATGTCACATTTGTCAACCAAGCGCATGTTTTGTGTATAATCAATCCCTGTCACTGGTTTTCGAATACGTTCATTAGTCACTCGATCAACTTTGCCACTGTCTTGCATTTCATTACGGTGAATGGTTGTCAACAATGTGACATCTCGTTTGTCATGCCACTGTAATGCCATGATGTCATTGGCAGTAAACACCTGCACGTCATCACCACGAGCACCTGCGTTGAGCCTGGGCATGTGTTTACGATTAGAATGCACTGTGCCACACACATCTGTCTTGTTCACTCGCATGAAATCACTGAGTAATGGGCTTGTGTACCAGTTATCGGTATATAATGTATGCCCCTTACCAAGATAAGGTGACATCATGTTTCTCACTACATCACCTGAGATACCCAATAACATCTTGGTATTTTTCAATGTTTTACTTCCCGTGTATACAACAATATCCAACACCAGGCCACTGTCACAGTCACAGAGTATAAACAGTTTTATACCAAAGCGTTTCCTCTTGCTCGGTATACATATACTGCTTGAATGACAGTCTACCTTTGAACAAAATCAAAGACTCGTCAATTACAAGATTCTTGAATGGATAAAAGTATATGCTGAACTTTTGTTTGAGATACATGAAAACATTTCTAATCTTGTATAACCTGTCACTTCTGTCAGGCCTGGTTTTGTCAGAGAAGTGCAACATACGTAACAGTAAGATAAACCTGTTCACTGGGATGATTTCACTGAAGACCGGGGTAGAAATTAGCCTATCTGTGGACCAGTATGCTTTTATATTATGCTTATAGACATGAGGCATAAGCATTATTGTTGCAAAAAGCAAATACATTTCTGCAACAGTCGTCTTTTTCCACCTGTGTAGTCTTGACTGTGGTGATATGATCGTATTTGCCATGGTGTACTCAAAATACTTATTACTTTCCCTGACAATAGTTTCCATCAATGGCTGGTCAAAGAATAATTCAAAGAATTCCAGTTCATTGGCTGAGGTTCCAAGGGGACAAGTAGGTAGAATTCCACTTTGAGTCATCAAAGTGGTGGGGCTTGGGAACAAAATTGGGATTTTGCTGCCAATCCCAGATACGGTTTGCTGGTGGATACTGGACATCATAGGCTGGTTGTGCGGGTGGTTGTGGTTGTGGTGGGCTGGTGGCTGACGCTCCGCTTTGTCCTTGAACTGACGAGTCAGCAGCGTGGGTCCCAGCCTGGGCTGGTGAGTCACGCATGGCCGTGCCAATACCATCACCACTACCACCATCTACTAATGCCTGTGGTCTATCCATGCCAAGTGTAGCCACATCATCCTCACTATCACTACCTAAAACTGGTGTAGGGCCACGGGATGTACTCCGGGATGTACTCCGTCCCCTGGGCACAGCATAGGGTACACTACCCGAGCGCATGCGGTGGCGAACATACCGACGCTTCACTGGTGAATATGATTCCTCACTATCACTACTCGAATGATCGTCAAGCGTAATAAAATCACAATCCACGTCACTATCATCATCATTGCTGAAGTCAGAGGCCTGGCCATGCGAAAATATTAGTTTTCTCTTGCGTTGAGGCACAACCGACCATGAGTCAAGAGTGCCCACACCAGAGGTAGAAGGTTGAGGATCGTCAGGGTTTTCTGCACTATTATCGATATCCTGGTCATTCCTTTCTGTCTCTAACTGATCAAAGCCATAGAATTCGTCTTCATTTCCACTTCCATCAGTGTCAGAACTATCAGATATGAAAAGGAGAGTCCCAATTTTCCGGGGAGTGAGAGCTGACTTGCGACGAGGCGTGGTGAACAAGGGTAACTGAGCCGGCGTTCCCACAATGCTATGCGGGCGCCTAGATTTTTTGTTTATGGCGCACACCCACCACGCAGACCCGTTCTCTCACATGTAGGCCTATGAGCGCTTTCACGCTAAATTTGACGGCGCTAGAATTTTGGTGTAGATCTACGGTTTGGACACTCAACGTGAAGCTGTAGATCTACGGGACGGACCCTGAAAGGGTTAATGAGTGGCTAATTGTTTTACAGCAACTTCATTAACGATGTAAAGAACGCAAAAATCATATAAGTATTTTTATCATAGTATAGTTACTGTATTTTAGAAACTTACTAACATTATTTTAATTAAGGTAATTGAAAGATCTATTTTTTCACAGCAAGCTGAGAATCTATACAGCAGCATTGGATGTCTTTTCAACTCAGCAGCTCCTTGTAGTTTTGATAAAAGTGGCAAAACTCCTTCCCAAAATGAAAATACCGATGGTGAGAATTCTGTTTGATGTATTCTTGGTGAAGTTAACCCGTAAACGGTCCAAACGTATATATATACGTTTTTTCAACATTTGATCGTATGTAAAAAAAGTAGATCATCTTTTTTTTTTTACATTTGAAAACGTGTAAAAAACTTTGATCTACTTTTTTTTTTTTCCATTTGAAAATATGTAAAAAAAATGTAGATCTACTTTTGGAGCACTATGCTTGTGAACATAGATCTGCTTGGACCGTTTACAGGTTAATTAACTGTGCTAATCAGTATTATTAGTTTATATCTACTTTATTCATATTGTATTAGCTGTTCAGTAAATATACTCTACCAGTTAATATACAGTAAATGATTGATTTAGTGGACTAACAGGAGGTGAGGGTTGTCCATTAAAGCAAGTTGTCTGTTAAATTTGAAGGATGAGCTTATGTAAGATAAGTTGGGCTACAGCTTTGGCTACACTGAAAGTTTCTAGATTTTATTGGATTGTATTTTCCACACAGATTTGCACAGCTTCCAGGCATCTAAATCATGTTTTGTTTATTTCCTTGGTAATAACCTGGCCATTCTTCCAAGACATCAGAAGTACTGTACAGTCTTATTCCTATGTATCACACAGGCATAGTTGGTCCTACACACAATCTAATCTGTAGATTATGGGACATTTCTCGTATATATTTCTGGTCTCTGTTTATAATTTTATATTCAGTGTATTTCTGGTCACAACTACCACATGATGTGTATGGATACCTGTGTTACCATGGTCCTGGCGATTATATTTTTGCCTGGTCAAGTCTTTGATGGTACTGAATGTGATGGCGGAAACATCAGTGTTACTCTTGGTAGTAGTGAGTGTGATATATGATATGGTGTAGCCCAGTCCTTAACCTTTCTACACAAATGGGCCACATTTGATGGTCAAATTTGTGAATAAGGCTGCATGGTTTTGTTGACACTGTGTAGTGTGGAACCTGCATAAAGTAAATTCATAATTTAGTTTGAGGGCCACATCTATTTCCCATCCTGTGGCCTGCAGGCCACAGGATGGGAAATAGATGATGTGGAAATAGATGATGTGGAAATAGATGATGTGGAAATAGATGATGTGGAAATAGATGAGGTAGTTTTGAAAACTACAAATGCAGCAAAGCATTCCATTTCCTTATTAAATTAGTTATTAAAATAATTATCCATAGAAAGTGACTCGTTCAGCATATTGTTGTTTATTTCTGTTAAATTTAGGATGGGTTAAATGAGTCTTTGGAATAGTCTCAAACTATGGTTTGTCATGTGAAATCTGTGCAAGAAATGAATTTAGGAATATTTCAAATACAGTAAGGGAATATCCTTTCAAGTTTCAAGTACACTGTTAAATTCTTCTCTTAACTTAGAAAAAAAGCCTTACTGTACAAGCAAATCTTAGTTAAGCAAAGCACATTTTCCTGTTAACTCTTGTTTTCTGAATTTTTGATACTGTAAATATAGGTAAGAAAAAAAAAAGGATTTTGCTTTCATAAAGTACTATAAGTAGAAACTGAAAAATTTAACCTCAAATGTATGTAATATTTAAATAATATATGCATTAGAAGAAAATAAAACAAGAATGGAGTAGATTTAAGAATGCAGTGTTAGTGTGCAGAAGAAATTCATGGGTGTAGGAGGGTGGGTGTGGGACAATGGAGGAGCAATAAGTGGAATGATGAGAGATTTTTGCAGTGTAGAAGTGATATACAGAGGGCAGAATGTAGGGAGAATGAAAGAGAAGTTAAACGAGTTGTGAGGGAGTGCAAGAGGAGAGCCATTGAGAATGTGGGAGAGGTTTTATCAACAAATTTTGCTGAGAATAACAAAAAGTCTTGGAGTAAGATTAATAAGTTGAGAAAGCCTAGGGAACAATGGATTTAATAATTAAAAGTGAAAGAGGGGAGTTATTAGATGGGAAGATAGAGATACTGGGAAGATGGAAGGAATGTGTTGAGCAGTTGTTAAATGTTGATGCATTGGAAAGGTAGGTATAACATCTTGTGGGAGTGAGGAAGAGCCAGCTGTGAGTGTGGGGAGATGTACATGAGGCAGTGGGTAGTGAAATTTGGTACAGCAATTGGGATAGATGGTATCAAGGCAAGTGTTAAGAGCAGGAGGGCATATATTTTGGAGTGGTTAGGGCATTTGTTCAGTATATGCACTATATGCAAGAATGGGGGAGGTAAGGTACCTAGGGAATTGCAGAGAATGTGCATAGTTCCTTTAAATAAGGAAAAAGAGGATAAAAGAGAGTTTAAGAATTAGTATAGGGCAATAAGCATGCAGAATATACTGGATAAAGTGTATGGTAAAGCTTTTATCGAAAGAATTAAGGGCAGAGCAGGATTGCAGAGGAACGTGGTTTTAGGGATAAGTAGACCAAGTGTTTATATTGAAGTATTTTTTTTAACACACTGGCCATCTCCCACTGAGGTAGGGTGACCTGCAAAAGAAATGCTTTCATCATCTTTCACTCTATAAATTAAAAATTCTTAGAAAAAGGTAAGGAATTTTTTGTTGTATTTATGGATTCAGAAAGGCTTATAATAGGGAGGATAGGGAAGCAGTGGGGCAGATGTTGCAGTAAAAAGTTTTTATGTGGATAGTGAGGCCCAGGTTAAGGTATGTAGGAAAGGGGGGATTATTTTACAGTGAAAATAGGACTTGGACAGAGAGGTAGGATGTCACCATGGTTGTTTAACCCTTTCAGGGTCCGTCCGTAGATCTACGGCTTTACGTTGAGGGTCCAAACCGTAGATCTACGCCATGAGCTCAGCTCACTCTGATAAGCTGTGAGCGGTAAATTTGGGCCTAGATATGAGAGCATACATCTATGTGGTAAGTGTGCACCACATAAAACAAATCCTGCAGCACACTGCATAATGAGAGAAAAAACTGAGACCGTAATTTTCGATTAGAACAGCAACTTTGCAGTGTTTTTTCGTATGTTTTTTATAGTTGTATCTGCGATTTCTTGGTCTCATTTGATATACTGGAAGGTATATTACAGAAATAGAAATTATTTTGATTGGTTTTAGTATTGAAAATGGCTTGAAACTGAGCTCAAAGTAGTGGAAATGTTAAATTTTTGCTGATGTTCAAGAGTAAACAAATGACCTCACACATCTAATACATGCCAGCTGGTGAGTCTGATATATGTTCACAAATGTGCTGATATTATTTATAAAATTATTACAATATTGCATGACAGTAAATCTTCTATTTTTTGGTTTGAATAAAAATTCATTATGTGAATTAAAAATCAAAATGGAATTCATTTGTAAAGCCTGAAAACATAACTAATGAACAGAGGAAATGCTAGTTTAGTGCCAGGAATGCCTCCATTGTTTATTCTGGACCCTATTTTGAAACTGGAATATTTTGAACTTTGCACTGAATTGGCCAAAATACCAATTTCCAATCACTTTATTTTGTAGTTGAAACAAATGAGTTGGCGATTTCTTGTGCTCAATCGATAGAGCAGAAGTAATACTAGTGAAATAGCTAAGAATTTGATCGACTGGAATAAGGTAATTGGCCTAAAATGGGAGTCAAAGTCGGCAAAATCGCTGTGCGTAAATATCGCTGACACATCAAAATTTGCGAGAGCACAATTTCGTCAGTTTTCCATCAAATTTCGTACTTTTTGTCTTGTCACTTTCAGAAAAAGATTCTCTACCGTTTCATAAGAAAAAATAACAAAATTATTTTTTGAAAATTCTTGGACACTGGTGTGCACTTTGAAATTTGGCCTCTGGACCCTGAAAGGGCTAATGTTTATAGATGAGGTTGTAAAAGAAGTGAATACTAGGGTGCTGGAGAAAGGTGTAGGAATAAAAAGATTATGTAACTAATACAAAGTGGGAATTGTCACAGTTGCTTTTTGTCAGTGACATGATGCTTGTTGGAGATTCTGAAGAGAAGCTGCAAAAGTTGGTAGAAGAATTTGTGGGGTATGGAAAAGAAAGAAATTATAAGTGAACATAGGAAAGAGCAAGGTAATGGGAGTAACAAAAAATTTTGGCAATAAAAGATTTTATATCAGATTTTTGGAGGGAGGGAGTATGGAAGAAATAAATGAGCTTAGATATTTGAGAGTGGACTTGTCAGAAGATGGATCTATGAAAGATGAGGTGAAGCATAAAATTGATAAAAGGAAAATGGTAATGGTGCATTGAGGCATCTGGAGACCAAGAACCTTACCCAAGGAGGCTATAACAGAACATGTACCAGCATATATTGGTACCAGCATTGTTATATTGGTGTGAAGCATGGGTTTTAAACAATGCTGAAAGGAGGGAATTGGTGGCAGTGGAGATGCCATGTTTGAGGGCAATGTGTAGTCTGAATATTATGCAAAGAATATAAAGCTTGGAAAGGAGGAGAAAGTGTTGGGCTACCAGAATTGTTATTTAGAGGACAGAGGAAGGGTTGTTGAGGTGGTTTGAGCACAATGAAAGGATGGAGAAAAATAAGATAAATAGGAGGACATTTAAATCTGGGGTAAAAGGAAAGAGAGGTTGAAGTCATTCCAGGAAGAATTGGAGGGATAGGGGGAGGTAAAGAAAACTTTGAGTACTAGGGGTTTGGACATCCAACAGGCTTGTGTAAGCATGTTACTAGTGAGTGGAGGCAAATGGTTTTTATGATTTGAAAGGTTGTTGGAGTGTGAACAATGCAACATTCATGAAAGGATTCAGGAGAAAACTAGTTAGCTGGACTTGAGTCTTGGAGGTTGAAAGTGCAGTATCCACACTCTGAAGGAGTGGTTAACTTATTAAAATCTCTTTATTTTATCTGAATATTAATGTGAGGTAGTCAAGGTGGAGGTTTATAAATACTATAATAATCTTGAAGTTGCACATAATAAAAACAATATTACAATTAATGATTCAAACTGTAATATTTTATGGATTGGCAGATGTTTTAATAGACTAGAAGTCATCTAATATAATATTTGGGAGATTTGCTTCAA